ACACACACACACACACACACACACACACACACACACACACACACACCTTTGACTTTCTCACCCACGTCTTCACCCTCAAACACGAAGACCACCACCACCTCCACTGGCTATATCCAAGCAAAGCCCGGCTATGAGGGCTGGCTATGGCGCTGTCCTCAGCAGCGCCCTGCACCCCGCACGTCCGCGCGTGCACGCAGCACCAGCGCTAGCACAGCAAGCAGCCCGTGAGTGATCGCTCCAGCAGCGCTGCCGCTCGCAATTGCAAGTGCCAGAATATCTCGTCTGGATCCCAGCCCTTTCCTATATGGAAAGTGGCGGGCGCTTTCCACTTGCTTCCCACGTGAGACCCAGTTTCCAGTAGCTTCAGTCTCAGCCAAAATGTCTGCGCCCAGGCCCGTTCAAACAGTGGCCTGGGGCCGAATTGGTTAGGCATGCCCAACCACCCAGGCACGAACGTGCAGTGCTCCCTGCTTCAACCACGTTGCTGGAAGAGCCTGGAAGGCTCACGAATATTTTGGATTCTCTTAGCCTACCAGTAAATTTAAGAAAACTCAGAATATTCTAGGAATATAAATTCAACAAATAATCATTCATATGAATTCATTATAATGTTGTTGATACTATCTATGAACATATAATTTAGACTCAAGTTTCGCCTTCACTTAGGGCGGACACACGCCTACTGCAAGGCCCTAGCCGAGGGGTAAGCCCTCGCACTGTAGTACTCTTGTACCCTTTTTCATCTTTCTCTTTTTTTTCCTGTCAGGAGGCAAAGGGATGGGGAGGGGACGGAAGGAAAAGGCAGCAGGGGTATCAAAAAAATGTTGTCTGGCATGTCTTGGATCAATATGACTGAGGCATTTCTTAACTCTTTCTATTTTTCAGCTGACATCTGGCGAGATCGGACTTTCAGCAGTCAGAATCACTAAAGTCAACTCGAGGTTTTTCCTGAAGTCGACTCAAGGTTTTTCCAAAAGCCGACTCACAGATTGAGCACATACTATAGTTTGCAGTGTAACTTGCTCACTGCTCGACAGAGAGCCAGGATGCCCTCAGAGAGGCCCACAGCACGGGCTGCTGGCTGCTTGGTAAATACTAAATATCCATCTTGGTTGACGAGCGATTTTCAATTCTTCGGCATGCAGAAATGCAAGTGCACCTATTCTACTTCTCCTTTCGTCCTCACTCACACGCTTGTAGTCATTCCAAGAAGAAACAATGCCAACTATCGATCTTCCCTCTCGTTATGATCTTATGCTGCAAGAAAGGTCACTTATCTTCAATGCCTTGCCACCATGTCGTCATCGTGAGGTGACCACATGCGCTTCATTCATTGTCGATATTCATGACCACCATGGATCCTCATTCTCCGTCACAGAGACGTTCACTATACAGCACTCAACAAAAGAAGAGCACGACTTGAAAAAAGGCACTCCTGTTCACTATACATGCGTTTCACTGAGACTTTCAGTGACTCTTCAGGAGGTTGAACCCGACAGCCTGCCCAGGATGCGTTTGACTGGCGGATAAGGACTTACCGAGTCCCCCAGAGTTAGCGATTTCCCCATCAAAAGTGATCAACTTTACTCACACCAAGCCTGCAACCCAACCAAACACCTAACAAAAATGGCAGTCACAGTCATACAACCCACTCTACACACCCACTCAGCCACATATACGTGAATGTGTTTTCAATTTTCACCAGAACAGCCCCTATTCCACCCAGATGAGCAAATCCAAAATCAAAGCATATTCAATCCTATTACAGACAAGGGTACCTGTTGCGGCTTCGCTCGCAGAAAAATGAAGGAGAGAGAAAAATAAGAGAAGAGGGAGGGGGAATGTTGGGGGGGAAGGGGGGCCCCGCATTCGGGGTAGATTTGACTCTCTCTCTCTCTCTCTCTCTCTCTCTCTCTCTCTCTCTCTCTCCTGTCTCTTATACACATCTAGATGTGTATAAGAGACAGGCTGACGGATCTTCAAGAAACAAATAAACAAATGTG